CCTTTTGTTGAAGTTTTGATGGGGACATTGTATTGGCAATTGTAAATGTTTTGGGGGGATTAATGTTTTATGTCTAATGATGGTAGAACATTGCGATAAGCAAGACGTCCTTATGAATTTTTTTCTTTTTTGGATAAATTTTTTCTCTTTTCTTTTGAACTGTTTTCCTTCTTTTGGATTCCTATTTTGGAAGAATGTAATAGAATACTTGTGTAAAACTCCATTTTGGGAATAGTTCAAGAGGAAAGAGTGTTATGTATGATCAATTCTATTATTCTATTTGTTTGGAATTATGTGTGTTGGTATTATTGGTTGTATGGTTACTTGAGTACGACTTTTCGGGGTGTGACAAATTTAGTAAAATCATACAATCTATGAAAAGTTATTTTATAATTTTACTTAAAGTCTATTGAGCATAAAACATGGATTTTCATTTCATTTGATAGACTTGTATTTTACTTTGCCAAGAAAGGTTAGTAATTTACTTGGTTTCTAGACGGTGAAGTGATAGAACGATTATTTTTAATTATTGTAATTAAAAATAAATATTAAAGTAAAATTTAAATAAAAAATAAGAGTTAAAAATATAATTTATCATTTGTAGATAACTTAGTACCATTGGTTCAGAGACAATCGCATTTTACATTGAGACAATTACAATCCAGTGGATTGTAGAAAAAATATTTACAAATAAATAGAAAATTTTATAATTTTAATTATTAATATTTATAAAATTAAACTATTGTATATATATATATATTTTTAATTTTAAATTTAGTGATTGTTTTGAAATAAAATATTTTAATAATTTTTTATAAAAAAAAATAGGAGATTTTTTTTTTAAGGTTCCTGATATTAAGATTTATAGCATAAAAGGACACCAAATATTTTCATAATGTTTAAAGTCCTTCAATATCGATTCAGAGAAAATTTGACCCACACCCGAGAATTTCTTTACACTTCCCAGAGAATTTCTCTAGACCTCCTAGAGATTTTCTCTCTAGAGAAATTTCTCTGGGCTTTCCAAAAATTTTCTCTGTGTTTTTGACCAATTTTCTTTGGTTTGCTTATAATTTTCTCTGTGTTTTTTTTTATCAAACCAGAGAAAATTAAACCATCACCATTTTCATTTTGACCATTTTTCTCTGAACTGAAAGACATCCAAACAATAACAACCCAAAGAAAATTGAACAAACACAATTTTCATTTTGACCAATTTTCTCAGGACTGTAAGACATTCAAAACACCAAAAGCAATGGATATCACAACACAGCACTTAACCAGACTAGTAAATTTCACCAACAATGGTATGAAGTTCATAGCTTCTTTCTTAATAATGATCATATAGTAAATGTTACTCACAAAAAACTTGAAACCCTCATAAAATCCAAAAAGCTTGAATTCTTTGAGAAGTCCAGAAATTTTTTGGGTTCAAACTAGAAAAAATTCAAAGCATTCAATTTTCTCTGAATTTCTCTGGTTTTCAATTTCTTTGGGCAATTTTCTCTATTTTTGAATTTTCTCTGGTTTGAACTCAGTGAAATTTGAATTTTCTCTGGTTTGAATCAAAGAAATTGTTGATGTCTACAATCCAGTCTACATTTCAAGAGATTAAAATGCAGAAAATGAACTCCATAGATAGCTACATTGAAGAAAAGCTTCAATTTTCAAAATTAAAATAGAAGATAATGCAGAGAGAATGGAAGAAAAATTCTTCCCAGACTCACATACCAGCAAGCTTTAGTCTTCGGGTATTCAGGGTTCGAAAGCAGTGACAAATCAGATTCATGATTAGCTATATATAAATCCCCAAAACCATTAGAATTAGGAGAGGACAGATATACCTTGGAAAATATACAGATGAGCACAACAAAAATTTATTAAATTCATTCAGAGAAAATGATAGAAATATCCCAAAAAATTGTAGAAATTCTAAATCAATATAAACAATATAGCATATTCAAACAATGAAATCGAAACACATTGATGAGAATATAACAAGAAATTAATAGAAATTATACAACTTAAACGAAAAGTATTAGTATTATACTTGTCAAAAGCCTTTTTAAGTTCAGAAGTGGCTTCTTTGGCTTCTTCAAGAGTCGGCACACCACTAAATACAAGTCTTAGCATCGGCTCACTGGTATTCACGATCGTCTCTTCGACTCCGTTGGCGAACGCCCAGTCATCGAGCTCCCAACATGGCCTCTGCGACTCAGCGTCGATCAGATTGTTTTGAGAAGTTGTCAAGACGTTCCGATTCACCTCTTCAAAAGAAGCAACGATAGATGAGACTGGACGACTGGCTCTGGGAGTGGCTGAGACGACTTGATGTTCTGCCGGAGATACCGACGGGACATCGCGAAGACCGCCGTTTACGACGGTGATTCTGGCCACCTTCGCTGCAGCTCTCATGGCTCCGCCGTCGCCCATGGTTGCGATTGATCGAAACCCGAGAACAAAAAAATATCTGTAATGATTTTACAATATTTGATAGAGTCAAATTTCTTTGTGATATATGAATGTGGGAGTTGAGGAACCTTAGACATTATAAAATAATATTGTGGATTTCTTTTATTATGAAAAATGGGAGAGGAACCTTAAACTAATTTTCTCAAAAAAAATATACAAAATTTAAAAAATTACTTAAAAAAATAAAAAGACAAAAAATATATTATTAGCATTCCCTATTTTGTAATTCCCTTTTTAAATTTTCGAGCAAGAATATATTTGAAAGGTAATTATTCATTAATTTTGGAGTATAGATACGTAATATTTCATAATATTATGATCGGTAAAAAAGATAAATATGTGGAATATTGTGTTACATGATTGAAAAATATGAAAAAATATATGAAATGATAATTAATTAAGGTGTACAAAGACATACTCCAGGAATAGGGCCTTATCCCAAATAAAGGCAAAATAACAACTTATTTCCCAAATTAAGCTTAATTTGGACGGAATTCCCAAACTAGGCTAAAATGTAGTTAGAAACTACGATTTCACCGTTTTTGTAACCCAACCGCGAAAAAATTGTAAAATCATAAAAGTGTGGTTACAAACCACGCTTTTAAGGAAATTTGATTTATACAGAAAGTGTTGTTTTTAACCACGCTTTTAAATAAATTTTTTTTTTCTTCAGAAAACATGGTTCACAACCACGCTTTTACGAAATAATTTTTTTTTTTTCAAAAAACATGGTTCACAAACACGCTTTTACATAAAATTATTTTGTAAGCAAAATATAAGACAAGCAAGGAGGGTATTGCACTCCTTTCAATAGAAGAGATATGGGGTTCAATCCCCCACATCTCCAAACTCTTACTTTTTTCAAATTCAATTCAAATTTTTTCCCTCCTTCCACTTACTCTATACTTTATACATTTATTATGTAATTTTTTTTTTGTCAAAAAAAAGTAAAACATTTGTTTGGTTAACTAATATTTATAATAAAAGTTATATTTAAAATAATTTTTTTTTAATTTTTTTAATATTTAAAATATTATTTTGAAATTATGATTTGAATATAGAGTGGTAATTTAAGTGTAAAATTATGGGTTGAGTTTTTTTTTTAAAAAAAAAAAGACATTTTTTTTAAAATATTTAAGAAAAAATTATTTTTTTTATTTTAAATATATAATTTTATTTTATAAGTATATTTTAAAATATTTTAATTTTTTTGTTATGTGTTTGGTTACGATTTGAATGTAGAGTTTTGAAAGTAATGTGGAATTTCGAGTTATGTGTTTGGTTATAAGGTTTGAAAATAATTTTTTAATTGAGTTTTAAGGTATGTGTTTGGTTATGATACGAGTGTGGAAATGTGTTTTGAGTTTAAAATATTAAAATTAAAAAAATTTAAATATTTACAAAATAAAATAAAATATTTAAAACACAATATAAAATATTTTAAATATATATTTAAAATAAAAAAATAAAATATTTTAAAATATAATTTTCAAACTCAAAACGCATTTTCACACTCGTATCATAACCAAACACATAATTTAAAATTCAATTAAAAAATTATTTTCAAACCTCATAACTGAACACATAACTCGAAATTTCACATTACTTTCCAAACTCTATATTCAAATCGTAACCAAACTGATAATAAAAAAATTAAAATATTTAAAAATATATTTATAAAATAAAATAAAATATGAAAAATTTGTTTGGTTATAAATTTTGAAATTTTTTGAATTTATTTTTTTAGGGTAAATATTTTATATTTTAAATATTTATTTATTTATTTTAATGTGCATTATATTTCATACATTTATGTGTTATATTTTTTTAATATTTTAAATATTAAAAAAATTTTAAAAAAATTATTTTTTATTTTAAATATAATTTTTATTATAAATATTAGTTAACCAAACAAACGTTTTACTTTTTTTTGACAAAAAAAAAAAATACATAATAAATATATAAAGTATAGAGTAAGTGGAAGGGGGGGGAAAAATTGAATTTGAAAAAAAGCAAGAGTTTGGAGATGTGTGGGATTGAACCTGTATCTCTCATATGGAAAGGAATGCATTATTATTTGAGCTACCTCATTGCTTATCTTATATTTTGCTTACAAAACAATTTTATGTAAAAACGTGTTTGTGAACCATGGTTTTTTGAGAAAAAAATTTTATTTCGTAAAAACGTAGTTGTGAACCACGTCTTTTGAAAAGAAAAAATTTATTTAAAAGCGTGGTTAGAAACAACGCTTTCTGTATAAATCAAATTTTCTTAAAAGCATGATTTGTAACTACGCTTTTATGATTTTACAAATTTTTTGCTGTTAGACTACAAAAAGAGTAAAAACGTGATTTGTAATCACATTTTAACCTAATTTAAAAATTCCGTCCAAACTAATTCTAGTTTAAGAAATAAATTGCTGCTTTACCTTAATTTGGAAAAAGCCCCCGGGAATACTCGTGAAAGGATATAGTGGACATTTTACAGCATGACATCATCGAGATGCATTTAATTGATGAGCCAAACCCGTTCTTTGAGCTACTATGATATGAAACCGCAGAACCAGAGGCCGCCCCTGCCCATGGTTCATCGCTGTTGTTGTTGTTGTTAGTGCTGCGGTACCTACCGGCGTCTTCCCTTCACGAAAACACCTCTCTCCTCTGCTTCCGGCGCGACCATGGAGTATCGTCAGAACAACACCCCACCCCTACTTGCCTTATCTTGTGCGTTATTTTCTATGTATCCGCCGCGGATTTAAGCATTTATGTCGTGTATACACATAGTACGTATATACTTTCCTTTTCCGAAACTGAAACCCTAGCTCGAAGCCATTGCATCACTTTCCAAGTCCTTTTCCCCTCGACTTGCTTTGAACTTGAAGCTCTGGCTATTGTTTCATCGCAATAAGCTCTCAAGATTCGACTGACAATGCACGTATCTCTGGATTGTTATTTGCTTTTATATAATTATTTTCGTTTACGTGTGCCCCTTACAGTTCTCGGCGTTTCTGATCATCTAGGACAATTTCTTTGATCTCGGTTTCTTACTTGTGGATTTGAAACCTCGAGAGTGCGTGTGTGTGTTTGATTATTTGGGCTAATTTATTCGCATCTCGTAATGAAACTAGGGTTTGTTTTCTCTGAAACGAATGTGGTTTATGAACGGAGAATCAGATCACCTGCAGTGCATGGCGTTTTATTGAATTTAAATTTTGTTTTGTTTTTATAAAATTAATTTGTGGAAAGAACTCTGCCGTCGTGACAATATTATATATATATATATATATATATCAGTGTTATATAATATTATATATATATTTTTTCTTGTAGAGTTCCGAATTGGGATAAGCAAGGTGGAGATGGAGAATAGCAAAGCACAAGAGCAGGCAATTTCGGTTGATGGACAGGTTTTGGAGAGCAACCTTGTTGATGCGAAAGTTGAACGGCATCGAGAAGACTTGCCTGCTGCAGCAGTCACACAGGACCAAAACCCTGGTGAAACAAGCTTGGAAGACAAAAAACCTAGCGATAAAGTGACTGAAGGTCAAAACCCTAATGAAAATGGTGTGGAGGACCAAGAACTTGGCGATGATAAGCAATTGCCCATTGAATTGCCTGTGAAGGATGCTCACCAGATTGAGAAAGAAGGATTGATAATTGTGCCAGCTGAGCCATTCCATAACACAGCTGCTGCTACTAATGTTGCTGAAGTTGATGTGGGCCTTGACAAGGTGCCAGAACATAAAGATGCAGATCCTAATGCTCGTCCTGCAAATCAGTATGAACCTGTCACACCCAATTCCCTTGTGAAATGTTCAAATGCAATAACTGGATATGACAGTAAAGAAACATCCAAGAATTGGTTGATTGAATCGAACTTAAAGGTACACCCTGAAAATTCCACAATAGGGAAAAAGGCTGAAAAACGTATTGAAATTTACAGGATTGGGGCTGGAAAATTGTATGATTCCATCCATGATAGTCCAAAGTTTGTATACAGTTGTTTATTGTTTGAATTGCAGATGACAGAGGATGATGAGTCTGGAACACCGGAGGACCAAGCAGCATTCCTGAAGGAGCTGGAAAGTTTCTATAGAGAAAGGTCCATGGAATTCAAACCCCCTAGGTTTTATGGGCATCCACTAAATTGCCTCAAGTAAGTTTTCTATTGCTTCGAGTGTGCATATGAGTGGTAACCTGGTTTCAGGTATGGACTAACCTTTTTTTTATGCTAGATTATGGAGAGCTGTCATTTGTTTGGGTGGCTACGACAGGGTATGAACGTGTCTTCTTCATTTATGTTTTCATCATATGTTGTTTTCTGATAGTGTTTGTGGTATTTATTAGGCATTGAGTAAAAGCTTGAACATGATTCGATGCTTGTCATTGCCTATGGTAGTATAGACATTGTGTTACTTGTATATATATATAAAAAAAAAAAAAGTAGTATAGATAGTGTGTTGGGGAATGTTTCATTAGGATTAAGTATTATAGAGGTCTGTAATCTGTATTTAGTACTTGAGGTAGTAAATTACTATGAACGTAACGTCACAGCATGTAGGTTGATTCGCAAATATTTCTCAATAAGATTATTGAAACTTAGGTGCACTTTAACACCCAAAACTAGACAAATCTAGAATTATCTCTTTGCTTCGTTATTTTATTTTACGTTTCTTTAGGTGTGAACATTGAGCTCATTTATCAAATTAACGTGATGTAGAATCGGAGCTTAATGGTGCTGTTTGGTGTAACTGTTAAAATAGATTATAGATTATAGCTTAACAGATTATAGATTATGACTTTAATCAGAAGCTGTTAATCTGTTTGGTGTAACTGTTGGATTATAGATTTAAGTTGCTCAGTAGTATTTGTTAAATAAACTGTGAAGTAGCTTTTTCAATTAACTTTTATTTTTTATTATTCACTATTTGTCTACATTTCTCATAAAAAATAATAATAATATTCTATAGTCCATTTGAGTCTTTTTCTATTTTTAAAAAAATAAAAATAAAAAAATCTAAGAGTATAATCGTGAATTAACATGTCCACAGCAGAAGCTGATAATCAGAAACAAGGGGTGAGCAGCTTCTCAGAATCAGCTTTTTTGACTTAAAATAAGTTGTAAGAATCAGAAGCTGTTTGAAATAAGTTTAACCAAACAGTCCAAAATAACTTTTTAAAAGTCAGAAGCCATAAATTGGCTCAAAAAAGCCCCACCAAACACCCCCAATGTCAAAGCTTGCCTTTTAAATTAGTTGGGCCCAGAGCAACACCAAACTTTACTTTTGGGCATTTAAATATCTTAACCTTTTTGAATAGTTGCCATCTACGAAGCATCGACATTTCAAAACAAGTGTCGTATCCGTGTCGGACACACGGACACTTCGGAGACACGCGGATACTTTGGGGACACGTATGGGACACACCACATGGCGTGTCCCCTTATTTAATTAGTTTATTTTCAGGGGACACACCGAGGACCCTTTAGAGACACATTATGGACATGCCAAGTTGTCTTTCTCCCATTTTATTTAGTGCTTTTGATGAATATTGAATGGTTATTATTTTTTTCTTAGATTTAAATATTTAATAGATCATCCATAAAAAAGATATATTTTTTTTTGGTAAATTTTAAAAAAATAGCAAATAAAATATAGAATTAGAGTTAGTTTTTGTTAACACTGATTGTTTATGGATGTAATATTAATCTAGATAGCAAATAAAAATATATGAAAACATATTTTATTCCCGTGCCCCTGTCGTGTCCGTGTTCCCAATTTTTTGAAATCGCCGTGTCCCGTGTCCGCATCTGTATCCATGTCCGTACTTCTTTGGTTGCCATCTTGTATGTCATGTGAATTGTTTCATCATACTGACAGTATGTTGTTGCTAACAAATACTTCCTCTTAATATCATGGATTAACAATCATGAAATCTCTTTGCTGTCCTTATTCATTGAAGACATCTTTGAATATATTTGAAGCTCCGTTACTTGCAGCTTCTCAAAATGGAAGGCCTTTCTTGAACAGATTTTTGTAGGAAGGCCTTTTTAAGAGAAGTAGTTTTTGGTGAATGAATAATTTTGAAGGACTAAGAATACCTTTTCTTGTATCTTTGGCCTAAGCAAAGTTTGCTGTTAGTGTCCCTAGTGGCGTGGGTTTGAGTCATGGAAATTACCTCTTTAGAAATGGGGATAAGGTTGTGTATGTCTTGCCCTCCACAAACCTCACGTTTACAAGAGCTTCGTGCACTAGGTCACCCTTTAGAAATAAGGATGGAAGAAAGGAGAGCAGAAATACATCACGAGTTGGAATAGGGGAAAAGAATAAGCAAAACATGCAAAATGCTAATCATATACTAAGTATTCATGATTGATCATTGTGTTTTAGTGCTTTAGTTTCCAATACTTTTCTAAACACATAGATGGGAGGGTTTATAGTTTTAATCTAGTATAGGGGAATATAATTGTGAAATCAACATTTCTAAAATTTGAGGTAAGTATTTGGTTGAGTTCCTATGTGCAAATTTACATGGTACTTAATGAATTTCGTCATTGTGACCAGGATTTTGAAACATTTGTTAAAATGATGAGTTAACAGACCCGCCCTTATTATGGGCATTTGCAGGTAACTGGATCCAAGTTATGGCGGCAAGTGGGAGAGTCGTTCCACCCTCCGAAGTAAGGATGGCATGATAGTTCATTTTATAAGTCCATAGCTCCTTTTATTATGATTAAAATCCCCATCCAACATTCACAAACTCCTTGGCTTTGGCCCTCCTCTCCTCCTTTCTCGGGTCCTATTACTGCACATTTTGATTTTTAAGCTTCTCTTTTTTGACTTTAATCTAGATTCAGCTCAATCTATAAAGCTAAGATTAATTCATTTCTACCAAGATTCTTTTGGAATTTGAAATTACTTACTATTCTCTATTTTAAGTTGGCTTCATTTGATCCACCGAATTCTATCGCAGGACCTGCACAACAGTTTCTTGGACATTTCGCATTTTCTATGAGAAGGTAAAGCTTATGTTACCCCCTTCTAAAATGTTAATATTGTTTTCTAAAAAACAAATTTGATCGATTACACACCAAGTAGGCAGTAGAAGTGTTGCTTTTGAATTTTGCAGACATGACAAGAATTTTCAGCTACTATGCATCTGTTTTCCTAGCCAACCCTGTTTGGTAGGGCAAAGGTTTTGTGACTGCAATGGCAGTAGCATTTTTTTATAATTGCATATTTTAAGTCCTTGATTTTTCTTTTGAGAATTCCTGTAGATTCTGAATGTGTTCTTTTATCCTTTGTTTGAAAACTTTTTTGTTTTCCTTTTGTTGTTATTTGTGCCTTTGGATAGTTTTGTTGGAAAATTTAGATGCCATAGGGAGGAACAGGATTTGCATTGGAGTTTCTCAATTATCTATTTTCATCCTTTTCCTTGGCAACTGAAAAACAGTTAACTGGGGTTTGAGGTGTTTGAATTAAGGTGGACAAAAATGTATGTCTTGTCTTCCTAATGGTGGAGGGCAGATGCTCATGTACCTCATCAGGTATGTGGAGCCACTTGAATGAGCAATAATATTTTGTTTTCTTAAGATTTGAAATGAATCTATATTGTTTCCCTTGTAATTGAAATCATTTTATTATCATCGTCATTATTTTTTATTTTTTATTCTTTGTCACATGGTGTACATAAATAGGGGTTAGCTTAGGGGAAGGGGGCAACTCAAAGCCCTCTTTGTAGGATTTGAACCCACAACCTCACACCACAAAGTGGTGCTCTACACAATCACTAGGCCAAAGGTCCTGGTTGAAATCATCATATTTAACAAATGCGCAAAGTGAGATTTCACTAAAGAAGCTTTTTTTTCTTAAGATCATTTTGGCATGATTCTTTCTGGGTACGTGAATTTTTTTGGTTGGATAATATGCACAGTATATAATTATATGAACAAGTAAGACATCACACAGGCAGTATGAGCCATTTGTCATGCTATTCAACAAATTTGATTGCATTTTCACTGCTGTTTTTTAAATGGTCCATGTGGCAAGGACACTCAACATGGACGTTAATATATATTATATAAATATGTGCTTTATTTGTCTTCATGAATGTATTTATAGCTATATATATATATATATATATTTATTATTGGGACAAATATGTATATTATTAATATGATGAATTCTCTGTTTTTGCAGGCACTTTTGGAATATGAAAGGCATAAGAGGCAAAGTGGTGAGCTCCAACTTACTGTTGCAGCCCTCCCTGAGCCTTCAAGTATTGAAACTGAAGTAAGTTTGTATATACCGAGGTCATTAATTCCGTGAACTATAAGAAGATCGAGTCACATTCTTGTAATGTTATGCCCTGGATGTAAGTGATGTAAGACAGGTTTATGGCTACTTAACATTAGCAGGTCTCACACTTCAAATTATGTGTGTTGGCTATGCAATCGAGGGCTATGTTACCAGAAAACGCTAATACCCTAGTGAATTACGTATTGATACGCACGTTTTGAATCATGGTACACTTTCGTTCCAAAATGGTAAATTTAGTGATCCGAAAGCGATTCCAAAAGTTTTTTCTAATATATTTCCTTAATTCTTACCTTAGGAGAGAAAAAATAAAATATATGAACTAAAATCTAAGGTGAGTTAAGTTTTGATGAGACAAAAAATAAAAATTGGGTCATAATTTTCATAGAAATGATTTGCTACAAAAAAAAAAAATATATATTATGGATACCTAATGGCTAATAGTTAAAAGAAAATTATTCTAGAAATACTTTAAATTTCGTACCACATTTTAGAGCATGTGCATACCACGTTCACGTTCCCGTTTCCGTTTCATGTACCGGAACGATCCACGTTTTAGGTAACATAGATCGAGGGATTAGATTTCAAGAATGTGTACTTGTGTAAGGTATCTAGGTTTAGATTCCAGGTGGGTTTTATGGGGCTTAGTTAATTTCAAGTTTCTTGGCTGTGGACAGGGTTGCAGAGTACAAAGTGGTTGTTGTGGATCTTCAGATCTTCATATAGAACATTTTTATAATTTAAAACTTGGACGTGATAAGAATGTTACTAGTTTTCAACAGAAAGGGTAATGAATAAGGAATCAAAAGGTTGAGTGTGAAGCCAATTTGAAGGAATAAGAGGAATCCCTTTGCCGGATTACCAGTGACCAATTAATACCTCATTATTGAATCTCTCCAGGATATGTATGAAAGAGTGGATTCACCTCAAATTCAGAGTATGCTATAGCAAGATTCTTATGAGAAACATTAATGCGAGTGGAGTGTGCAGCTGAAATGTGGTTGATGTTCTATTCTATCAAATTGATGTGTTATGATTTATAAATCTAAAAGGGGGAAATGAAATATTTGAAGTTAATAAGGCGGAGTTTTTGCAGTTTCATATTTACTGGTTCAAGTAGCTGCAAATATTTTTTAATGTCATTTTTATTTTGTTTCCCTTGCTCATTTTTTAGTTTAAAGTTGTCTTTTTTTGTTTTTTTTGGCTAGTGCATTGTTTCTCTTCATCTTCATTGACTTCATGGTGGCTGATATATCTGTGCGTGTGTGCATGGGTAGGACCATATTTTGTAGTATTTTATTTTCTTAAATTTTAGAGCTCTGTTTTTCTCAAGAAGGAATTCAATGACATCCATGGCTACTTAATCATTGTTCTCAAACTAACTTGACAAAGAGGGTCTTACAAATGCTTTCTTCTGAGTCCGGATTTAGGTAGCTAGTTTTTATTTTTATTGGAGCCAGGAAATTAAGGTTGAACTGTTAGCTTTGGATTTGTTAGGAAATCTCATTATCATTCTGTTTGTCGAGCAAGACAGTTTTTCCTGAAATTAGCTCAAAGGTTGAACTTCTAATTTACCTGCGTAGGCAAATGATTACCAAGTTCCTGGATCAGGTAGGGCACAAAGGGGTGCTGCAGCTCGTGCCATGCAGGGGTGGCACGTCCAGCGTCTTATTGGTTATGGTGAAGTTGGTGAGCCTACTATTAAGGTATGTTGGAACTCTGTACCTCTAGCGTCATTTTTTTTGTTTTTTGTTTTTTTGTTTTCCTGTAGTAAGCTTGATTTACTCCATGATAGTTCTGCATTTTGTAATTTTTTTAAGTGTTACTTTTATGTTGGATAGGACAAGAACTTCAATAATATGCCGAAGCGTGAAAAAAGTCTCAAAAGCATCGGTATGCTCCTCTACAAGCAATTTTAGGCAGGATCTTACACTGTTGGTTCCCATTATTCGTTCACAATTTGAATTTTGTTTAATTGTCTCAGGTTCAGTAAAACACAAGAGACCAACAGAGGTTGAGCATTCCGTGAAAGCTGCACGAACCGAAACAACTAAGCAGTTAAGGCTCTGATCATTCACATTTTCCTTTTCTCTGTATGTATTAGTTAGACAATGTTGCCAGTGAGCTTCATACAGAATTCTCAATTTGTTTCCTGTAGTGGGTGTGATCTTATTTTCTTGTTATCATGCTTTGCATTACAATTTGCTAGTCCTGTGGTACTCTCTCTTCCCTTCTTTGATTTGTCAATTTTTATTTGCACAATAGAGAATAAATCTTTTTCATTGTGCATCTTTGAACTATTAATCACTAATGCCAGCTATTTGGAATTACGGTGCAGCAGCTGTATAAAAGCATAGAACTTCATGATTGATCATTCTGGTTTTCTCTGTGCTTTAAAACAATGGGTCTTAAGGTTTTTATATTCAATTTTTACCTGTTCTGGAGTGTATATTCTCGTATTACTTCTATCATTTGCTATCTATGTTTGATTTGCGCACATCAAGGCATTTTTTATTTCTTTATGGTCATTCCATATTCACAAACCCTCTTGAGTTTGAATGGCATCAATTAGTTGAAGGATGATGGTTGACTTCTGTCTGTAGTCACCTGGGTAACAGTTTGGGAACTTAGGTCCACTGCTTGGGTTAACTTGGGCAATTTGTCAAGCATGATGACCTTTGTTGTCATTAAAGTGTTTGGGGACAAAACATTGTTGAACTTTGCTCTCAAAAATAGGCTAGATTTTGTTTTCCTTTATATTCCTGGTAAAAGTTGCAAGTAAATGTAGTTCCTCTTCCCTCTTTACATTTTCTTCCCCATCTTTTAAAACTATGTTAAATTGTCCTCATTTGCTAGGTTGGTGACAACAGTTGCTGATGTTGGCCCCCCTGCTGATTGGGTGAAGATCAACGTTCGTGAAACTGTAAGTTTCTTTTAGAATTATACCTACTGAAATACTTCTCTATCCTTGAGTTTCCTCCATTGAAGTTCTAACTAGTTGTGCCCTCTTCGTGCACAGAAAGATAGTTTTGAGGTTTATGCCTTAGTCCCGGGGCTATTGCGCGAAGAGGTTTGTTCTTGTCAAACACATATTTGCCCTCTCATTTCATTTGCTTTCCGTGGTGCATATTTTTCACCTTTGGCCCTGATTTTGATGTAATGTGACAATTGATTCTATAGTTTTTTTTTTTCCCCTGCGAAGTGAATTTACGTAATTACAGTTAATATAATTATGTTTACTAGCAAGCACATAGAAGATGGAGGGATATTGATGAATTAGGGAGCCCATTTAGTGAAGTCATTTGTAAAAGCAGTAGGAGCGCTGATACGTCTCATTGGTCTGTTATGTTCCTCATCAAATGTGGGTTATTTGGAACTTGAGAATGTGTCAGGGGGTGGTTCTATGTGGCGCATTTCAGCAGTCTACTTAGCTGACATGTATAGATTAGAAAACAAGTAATTTGAGGTTTTATCTTCAAAATAATTGTTCAGTTAAATATTTCAAAACTAATAACTTTGTCTGGCATCTTTGGTGACACGTTTGGTCTACGTATTTCAGTTAATGGGGTGTGAATTTTCTCGTTTTACTTTTGTATGTCAATGCATACAAGCACTCGTATAAAAATTATGAGTGTATTGCATAATTTTTTGGCCGGGAAGGCCTTGAACCACAAGCAATCATTGAAACAGATTCCTTCCAGCTAGTATGATGTGCCAAGAACTTTTTGACAGTATCAATCATTATTAAATGCTATGGCTTTGTGTGTGAATCTTTATGCAATTTTTAAAGATGAATGTATAACTAAGACCTGGTATTGATGGCCTTGTTACTTGGTGGATTCAGGTGCGAGTTCAATCAGATCCAGCCGGCCGACTGGTTATTACAGGTCAACCGGAGCAGCCTGACAATCCCTGGGGTATCACAGCCTTCAAAAAGGTCCGTCTTTCACTTTAATGCTAGTCATTAAGACATAAAACGTGCACTTGACAGCCCACACACTAATAAGATAATAAGAGTCACTGTCTCTTCTACGTGTTCTTGTTACAATTCCTTGATAGGCTGGTTTGAATCTATACCATTCTGATGCTGTGTGGGGTTTTTCAGGTGGTTAGTTTACCTGCAAGAATTGATCCGCTTCAGACATCTGCGGTGGTTAGCCTGCATGGTCGACTCTTTGTTCGTGTCCCTTTTGAGCAGTCAAATATCTGATGATAGTTTGAATGGTTCCAATATTTAGGGATGAGATTAATTATTGAAGATATAAACATTTCTAGGAAGGATTGAAAGTAAGAAGATCAGAGGAGCATCAGCTAATACCTTATTGTTTGTGTTTGCATTTTAGAAATTATTTTGAGAGGCAGTGGCTGTGCTAGAATTTTAGAAATTTGTTTGTGAAATAAGTTTTATGAACAATGCATGGGACTTCACCTAATTTTAATAATTAATTCCAATTTTAAAAAGAAAAAACCTACTGCAACAACCAAACTACTTTTACTTGTCCCCTTGAAGAATTATTTTTTGCCCTTGATATATGTGATTGTAGTGTGAATGAACAAAAATAACCTCAAAGAGATGGATGATTCATGTTATGCTATATGAGAAGCACAAATTATAGTTGAGCTTATATTGCAAGTAAATGGAGGGGTTTTTTTTTTTTTAATTTCTATTTTGAGTGAAAGAAAATATATGATGTTTACCTCTTTCAGTCTAGATCTAATCTTATTTTGAATCGTAAGTTTAGAATCAAACAGGGTCAATGGGTATAAATATTTTTAATGACTCAATTTCTATTGTGATAAAGCGCACACAGAAAGTTTTGTGATTGTCATAGTTATTTTAAATTTTATAAAAAAACCTTATAAGTAATAATGAACTTTTCATGACATCAATAATGATAAATAAACAATTCCAATACACTTGCAGGGGAAAGGAAAAAAAAAAAAAAAAAGGGGTCCAGAAAATGAAATGAGTATCTAGATTGTGAAGAAAAATTTAGGGCGAAAATTAGGTTAAATCATGTGATTGAGCTCTTGAGCACTTTATCCCTTTATCTTTTCTCAGGTGATTTTAGGTTAAAATGTTTATCTAACTTCTTAGCTTTAATTATAAAATGTGTTTATATCCTTTGTCTTTTATGCACTTTCCAGAATATGTATATATAGAGAGAGCGTCAAAATGATAAATGGCCATCTCCTCACTGTATCATTAGGTCATCTCTTCAACTCTCGCTCGCAATATGCTGAAAATACAAGTATTCAATTCGGACAAAATTCTAATATGTATTAATCATTACCTACGCATTTATACCTATAATGATGTGTCATGAGAGTTGGGTCCAACGTTATTAAGTGTGTAACAAATCAAAAGTAATCACATATCCTACTAGATCATTGTGTGTAAAATTATAAATACTTTTTGAGAATCTCAATCATTTTTCTTAATCATTTTAGAAAGAACACTAATTTCTTTACAATAAACTTTTTCTTCCTGGTGTGTTTCAACATACGCTATATACCCTTATATATAAAGAACTTAGTATGTTAATCATTTTTTAATGTATTCATGTATTTTCATATACACTTATATCAAGGCACATTAAACCCAAACCATGTGACTCTTACAATCTATACACTTATATCAAGGCACATTAAACCCAAGCCATGTGGCTCTTACAATCCAAAGACATTGAGACATGAACACAACATTTCAATGTATCTAATATAAATTCTAAATTAATTTCAACACAATCTTCTCATAATCACAGTTTTCTTTTGTTCTTGATTGAAGATGATCAGATCAGAGGTAAAAGCAGTTGAATTTATATTTGTGTTTTAATTTGTGAAAGAATAATACAATTAAAGCCATAGTTCCAATGGGTCGGGTAAGTCTTCTCCTCATAATGTCAATGTTATCTCTATGCCTTAGAGTGGTTTATTTAAATCTGAAAAAAACAAAAAAGAAAGTAGTTAAAAGTCTCAAGAAATACTCAGTGGGTTATGAGAACGATCGACTTCAAATCCCATTAGAAATCTCTAGAATTGGGTTTAAGCCATGGGAACATGTTCTTGTGGGTTATTTTATTGATAGAAAATTGTCTTTCTTCCAAGTGAAAACTTGGGCTTACAAGTTGTGGAAGGAAAATCTTAAAGATGTTGTTACCTTAGATAATGGCTACTTTGTATTCAAGATGAAAAATGAAGAAGCTTTGAAGTCCATTCTTGATGAGGGTCCTTATTGTATTGGGAGCAAATTGATTATTATTATAGAAATGGCACCCCGGTATGACCCTTACTAAAAATGTCTTCTCAAGTGTGCCGATATGGATATAATTTTTCAATGTACCGCTTGAACTTTGGACTGAGAATGGATTGAGTTACATAGCAAGTTTTATCGGTAATCCATTGTACCTTGATGAATTTATCCAAAACCATAGAGAATTAACATTTGCTAGAATTTGTATTGAGATAGAAGCTACTAAAGAGATTCCACCCTCCTTTGTTGTAAACTTAGTATATGGAGAACCGTTTGAAATCAAAGTAGAAGTTTCTTGGAAACCCCAAGTGTGTGGAGCATGCAAAATATTTGGTCATGCTACAAGTTTGTATCCAAGTAAACCGACAACTCAAGCTTCTAGTAAACTCAAACAAGAGTGGAAGGCCAAAGAAGTAGTCGAGACGAAGGAGGAAGGCAAGCCAAGTGAATGGGTTGAAGTGAAAAAGAAAAAATGCAAGGACGTCATTAATGCTCCTATGGGTAACTTTGTCCCTACACCTCCTCCATCTTCATTGAATGCATTTGATATTTTCAATACTTGTGTAGCCAATATGGAGGTTTCTTTTTGTGTGGATCTTAATAGCGTGCTTAATGCGAATTGCTCCTCTTTGGAAGTGAGTAACCCCTCAAAAGATATTCCGAATGGAGATGCTTCAAAGGAAGAGAAAGAAATTGTCAGGGATGTGGACAATATAAATGTGTTAGTCCCTAGACGATCTTCACGTTCCAAAGGAGTTCCACAATCCCTTTCGGATGGCACTTTCGTTGTTCCATGGACAAACCCATCTTCAAATTTAAAGTGGAAATCAAGAAAAAGCTCCTTGAAAGATTTGCTATCTTAAACTTGCTCAAGAGGTTAGTCTCTCTATCAAGTCTAAGAAATCAAGTCGTAAAACTCCTAGTTGATTATTGCTTGGCCTAGCTTTGGAGTTTGTTATTGTTAGATTTTAGTGTAGAAGCTACGCTTGTGTCTCCCTCCTCAACGGGTGTTTTGCCTCTGGATGTATAATGAATCTTACTGTAATATCTATTTTTTAATATAAAACTTATGACTTACTTACCAAAAAAAAAAAAATGATTAAAAAAGTTTAAAACTAAAGCTAAGGTTTCGAGATGTATACATAATCTTCAAATTGCAGTGAACTGATTATCTACCATAGTTGTCATGATCATAGAGATGCATAAGAACTTAAAGTACTAATACGAGAAAGTAGTAGTTCTATATACACTTTCATGGTGTCTATCCTTTTCTCTACATGTGAAGGAAAGAAGAAAGTTCTATGGCTTCATTGAGGTCTCTCTCTCTCTCTCTCTCTCTCTCTCTATATATATATATATATATATGTGACTGTTTGTATGTATAAGAGTGCTTAATGGCAACATGTTATACATTAACATAATCCTTCTACAAATTCAAATGAGTTCTTCTGTACTTGTTCCAAATTAGCCTTTATATTAATAGATGAACAAAATTTGGTAACTAAATCAAGTGAAAAAATAATTAGTTGGGAGTAGTTTAGTTGGTCAAAACTCTTGTTCTCACTAGAAGATTAGGAGTCCAAGTCTTCTCATAAACAAAACTTCTCCATCTTAGACTACGAGAAATTATTGCATGGTCGTGATTGTATGCTTGATCAATGATGTTTTACTTCTAAACTAACAATCTTTGATGTAAATAAATAAATAAAAAAATCCTAAGTGCAAAAATTAAATCATAAAGAACATATAATAATACAATAAAAAAAATAGCAATGCGGATAGTAATAGAGTAATACATGAATCAATGTCTAGAACTAGGATTTGGAGGTGAGTGCAAGGCAGTTTTATCACTTAAAACTATATATATATACAACAAAATTAATAAGCAGCAATTCATTTAGCTCTCTATTGCTTCTTTTTTTCAGCCTTTTAAAGAAGCTGGCTAACATTTGATTGCTAGGTAGGAAGCATAACTAACAAAGCACTGGTTGTTTCTCATTGCAATTTAATGTCATGTTTTATTTATTTATTATGTTTTTTATACAGCCAAAACAGCAAAAAAATAAATAAAGTAAATGCTAAATATAATAACTATATATTCTATCTATCATACATATCATATTTGTTAAAAACTCTCTATATTTGTCAAGTGAACATAAGCAAATTGGGAGAATGTTCTCTTATTCAATTAAACAGCTGAACTAGATATATATAGCTTTACAAGAATAATAGAAAAGAGAAATAAACTGTAGCCCACATTTTACATGCCTATTAATGTGGTAAGTGACTAGGAAATAAACAACTTATCCCCAAAGAATAAGAATTATTCAAACCACTAAGTAACTAATCAAAAACAGATCCTAAAGACTAGATCAACACTAACAGTTTCAACATCCTTCCTTAAACTGAATACCAATTTCATTCAGTTTATACTTGGATATGTGCAGACCCCCAACAGACCTCTCAGCTTCACGAACATATCAAGCTTTAAGGCTTGGTCATTATGCCTGCAATCTGTTCTTGAGAGTGACAATGGACCAGCTTAACAGTTCTATCTTTAGTAAGCTCACGGAGAAAATGTAACCTAACATCTATATGCTTGCTTCGACCATGTAATACAGGATTCTTCGAAAGCTCAATAGCTGAGCTGCTATCACAAAAGACCGTTATACCACCACTTTGAGCATGATTAAAACCCTTCAAAATCCTCCTTACCCAAACTGCTTGACAAGTACATGAAGCTGCTGCAACGAATTCAGCCTCAGTGGTAGACAAGGTGACTATTGGTTGTTTCTTCAATGACCAAGAAACAACTCCTGAACTTAACAAAAAACATAACCTGAAGTACTTCTTCTATCATCTGAATCTCCAGCGTAGTCACTGTTTGTATAGGCAACCAGCTTCTCATCTCTTTCCTTTTTATAAAATATCCCAAGATTAGAAGTCCCTTTTAAATATCTTAGCACTCTCTTGGCTGCTTGAAGTTGAAGCTCTGTGGGACGATCCATATACCTACTTAGAAGACTCACCACAAATATAATGTCAGGTCGAGTAGTAGTCAAATACATTAGACTGCCAATTACTTGCTTGTAGCGACTATTGTCCACCTTTACTCCATTCTCATCTTTTATGAGTTTGCAACCTGGAACAATTGGATTATGAACTGAATTGCATTTATCCATATCAAACCTTTTCAGCACCTCTTGTGCATACCTCCTCTGACAGATAAATACCCC